AACTCTGGAAATGACGGATCAAAGAAAAAAGATGAAAAGAAGGAAAATGAATTAGTAAAAACTATAATAAATGGGAAAAGAAAAGTTCTTGATTGATCTACCACCTTTACCTATCAAAAAATCAAACAATCACGGCCCCTTCCCTGATCCCGTACGTTGCTTGGTTGTTGGGAGAAGTGGTAGTGGTAAAACAGTTTTAATATGTAATATTATTTATAAGTATTGGATCCCCTTTTCAAAAGTTTACATCTATAGTAAGTCAATTAATCAACCTCTTTATGATATGATGAAAGACATTTTCGATCAACTTTATGAGGAGACCGGCGAAGAATTTTTACATTTTTTTGGAAATTGTGAAAATGTTATACCACTCGATGAGTGCGATTCAAACAGTTTAATAGTTTTTGATGACTGTATTCAGGAACAACAAGCTCCAATCATAGCATATTTTACTCGAGGGAGACATAAGAATATTTCTTGCTTTTACTTAAGCCAAAATTTCTGTTCTGTGGATATAAAATTAATAAGAACGAATTTAAACTTCTTATGCATCTTCAGACAAGATAGGCTTTACACTAAACAAATATATAATCAATGCGTCGGCAGTGATATGGAGTTTGACGACTTTAAAACGTTATGTGATCGTTGTTGGAAGGAGAAGAACGGTTTTCTATCGATTGATCTAACGCGTGAGATCGACGATGGGCGTTATAAAAGCAAATTCGTTGATATCTCCTTTTCACGAACGTATGACGTTAACAAAAGAAAAAACTTTTTTTAACGTTTTCTATTATAAAAGATGCAGAATCCAAAAGATAGAACAATTCAAAAGATAAATCAAATACAAGCCCGAATTCGAAAAGATTTCTTAAACGCTAAAAGAAAACACGAAGCTGAAATGCAAAATATTAAAAAAGAAATGTTATCTAACGAAAAAGATGAATTGGTTTCCGTTGTAGAATTACCACACAAACCAAAATATGACATCAGTCCTGATGAGGCTGTAAAAATAGGAATGTTAGAGAAAGAGTTAAAGGATGTGCACAAGCAAAACCGTGTGGGCAATGTAGAAAGATTGGCAGGTCTTCATAGGCTTTATAAACCAATGGTGGATAAGGTGGATGAAGTTGTAACTGGTATTAAGAAACTAGATGAAGATATGAAACAGATAGTTCCCAATGTAAAAGTGCCTTTCGAACAGATTGAGGGTTCTCTACCCACCTTGCAGCCCATTCAAGGTGTAGATCCTAAAATTAAATCTGTGGTACAGAGAAAAATAAACATTGGGCCCGTAGCAAAAAACTATTTAGAGAAACTGACCGATCCTAAGCTAAGTGATAGGACTTTTGGTATTTGGTATGACTCTGACACAAAAACACATAAAGTTGGTAGAGAGCCTATAAAATTTCATAATAATGATTTTACAATTAAGGATACAAAATATGTGGGAACAAGGGGTTTGTGGAGATTGTTGGTGAACAGAGATCTACCCGACGCAGACTATTACTCTGAAGAAGATGCAGCAAACTACAAAAAGATACTAAAAGACACCTGTTCAATGCATCAGAATAACGATCCATCAAATAAACTGCCTAAATCTAGTAAAGGTTCAAAATGGATGAAATTTGTTTCCAAAGTTTGGGACGAGAGCAAACGCTCCGAATCGTTAGATCACGATGAAACAGTGGAACAATTTGGAGGTTCTTTGTTGAAATATAGCAGAAATCCTAATGAAATAATACTGATAAATAGCCTGCAATCATTAAAGGAGCTCATAGATTATCTTCAAGCTCAAGAAAATGCCGGAAATAATAATTTTCACAATGATAAAGAACGAATTCTTCATTTCATCACAAATGCAATAGAAAAGCATATTGATTCACCTAAGGGATTAGAATACTTAAAGAGAATGTTGAATTCCCTCCCAAAGGGTGTGATCATGCAGGGAGCAGGATTGGTCAATTCAATAATAGATAATTTACCGTGGGAAGCACACATTCCTTGTGAAATAGATAAATTGTGCAATTTTGCAGGTCCTGGCACAAAGTTAGAGCAGAGACTCGCAAGGGGCGATAAACCAGTCAATAAATTGGACGAAGCTGCGTTAGAACATGATACTTTTTACAGCAAACACAAAAGTACTGAAGAGAGACATATTGCTGATAAGATACTTGAAAACAAAGCTTGGGAAAGAGTTTTGGCACCTGATTCTTCAAAAACAGAAAAAGCTGCGGCGTATGTGGTTACAAATGCGATGAAAATCAAAAGACTTTTGGGCGCGGGAATAAAATATTAAAATATATATATTATAAATGGCTAAAGAAGTTTTTAAAAAATATACAGAAGAGGTTATTAGCGCTCAGTATAAAAGTATACCACCCAATTCTATTCTAAATTTTAACAATGAAAATAAAACTATAGACTTTGAAATTCCTAAAAACGATAGTTTCATAACTACAGATATACTATTCAAAATTAAAGCTGAATTAACAAAGGCAGATGGGACTGCGTACGCAAAAGACTCAAATATTCGCCTTGTTGACAATTGGCCCGCACACCTTTTCAAAGGAATCAAATCGAAACTACACAACCAAACTCTTGAAGAAGTGGATTATCCTGGTATCACAAGTACTGTTAAACAACGTGTGAACTACAGTAAAAGCGATAATCATGATGCTGAATGTTCTGGTTTTGTTTGTGATTCTACGGGTGGGGGCACCTATTCAGCCATGGGAAGATTGTCTGGCTTGGGACTAGGATCCCTTGATGATATTGATTTTCCAATACAAGGTGCAGACTTGGCATTTTCCTTTATCAGAAATTCTGATAATGATGCTCCTAAAAGAGGTGAAGATACTAAAACAGACGGTACTAAGGAATTGGTTGCTGTGTGTAAAATCACCATCAAAGAGTTTGAACTCCTAGTGCGAGAGATTGAATATAATCCTATACAAAAACCTCTACTCCTAAATGACTTATCAAAACTTAACGACGAATATAACTATGTATTCAAAGCATGGCAATGCATAGAACTCCGAGGTTTAACTGGTTATACATTGAACTGGAATCTGACCAATTCGTTCAAAAATACTAATAGGCCTGTTTTCCTTTTTACCGTTTTTCAAACTAATAAATCCAACGATCAGTTAGCAAATCCATCAGAATTTGATCATTGCGACCTAAAAAATTTTGCTCTAAATATAAACAGCACAAAATATCCAAAAGAGATATTTGACAATAATTTCGAGGATAATGATTACTTACACGCATATCATGATTGTGGTGAGTATAAGCGGGTTTATGGTGAAGGTAAGACTATTCAACTCAGTAAGAACGAATTTCGATATAAGTATACAATATACGTTGCAAATACAACGCGACATCCTAGTGAAATTTCTAATCCGAAGTATAATATTAATTTACAAATAAACTGGAATAAACCCGTTCCCACGGGTACTGTCTGTTATGCGATAATTGTCTCGCATAAGTTTTTCAACTATGATATGCTTAATCAGCGTATAAAAGAAATAATAGAGTAAAATAAATGGATTACTGTAGAATTTGCAAAAAGAAAACTAAAAGTTTCGGAGTGCCAATATTTGTTCAGGTTAAGAGATGGTGGAGGAGACTTTCCACCTGTAGAATTTGTAAATATAATAAAAATAATGTCTCAAAGTCTCCAGACTATATTGAAAGTATTGAATTATTTAAACCTAGCAGAAAGCGTTACAAGACGAGACACTTTATTCAAAAAGGAATGGATGATACTTGGGATGCGGATTACTATGAATTTTATAGACCCAAAGGAAAAATTGAAGATCCATCATACAATTTCAGACATGAGAGGAAATATGCAAACGAAAATGATTTTAAAAAACTGTCACAATTGAATTATGGTTATAAAGGCTGTTTTAATTTCATTGACACGTTTTCAAAATATGTTTGGTCGGCTCCTGCGAAAACTAAATCCGCTAATGAACAAACCGCTGCGTTTTTAAAAGTAATCAAAGAGTCAGGAAGATGCCCAAAAAAGTTACATGTTGATAGGGGCGGAGAATTTTACAATAAGACTTTTAAGAAGGTCTTAGAGAAATTAGGAGTTGAAATTTATAGCACGGGCTCAGACAAAAAAGCCTCTATCATTGAAAGATTCAATCGGACTTTGGGGGATAAATTTAAACCCATCATCTATCGTGGGCTCAGTTGGGTTGAGGCATTACCGAATATCATCAGTACCTATAATAATACCTATCATAGAACCATTAAAATGAAGCCTATCGAAGTTACAAAAGACAAAGAAGCACAACTACTTTCCACAGTTTACAACTACAGATTGTCCACTTCAAGCCCTAAATTTGAAATTGGTGATCGGGTGAGGTTATCCTCTCATTCTTACACATTCAAAAACAAACTGAAACCAAAATGGACAAAGGAAATTTTTACTGTTGCAGAAGTGATAAGATCTAATGTTATTTATTACAAATTAGAGGACATAACAGACACCGTTTACGAGGAGGAATTACAATCGACATTATTGTGAAAAAAAAAATATAAATATTATAAAGAATGTCTCTGTTATATTTAATTTTTATTTGCTTTGCAATTGTTCACGCAAATACTAGATTCGAAAACTGTCAAAACTATTACAGCGTGAACAATTCTCCCGATTTTACCTTGAGAGATACTAAATTGTATTGCAATCACGATATTAATATTAATAATACTTTGCATAACGTTAAGTTTTTTGATAATGACATAACTCTCTTCTGTTTATCAGTTAACTGTCGTAGAAGTATAAACATCAGTAACACGGGTGGTGATGTCTTGTTCTTTAAAAATAATATTACTTTTATTTGTGAAAATCCTGGTTGCCAGTTACATATTTTTACTAACAAATCCAGCAATTTTTATTCGTCTGACAATAATTTTCAAACAATATATGAATTTGTGTCTCTTCGGTCTTAAAAATTGAAATGATTTGATTTCCAGTGGAAATCAAATTAAACAGCACTTTTGCAGTATCCAAATGGTAAGGTATTGATACTGTCAACGAGGTACCTTTTATCATCATAAGGGGACAGACCAACTTTTACGTTCTCAGAAGTGTATAACTGTAACCTATCAGAGACTATGTTATGAATTGTCTCTTTTGTGAGTTTTTCATTAAATAGAACATCCTTGTATTCCAAGAATCTCTTTTTTTCTAGGTTAGACTTATTTATTCCTTTACCCACTTTCTTTTCGTTCGCGTCTGTGCGAAGAGCATACATCTTTGATCGTAATCCAACAAACTCTCTAATCGGAATACCCAAGTATTCGTCTTTGAATACCCCGGGAACTTTCTTGTTCTTACATGGCATTCCTTCAAGCTTATAGTCCGAAGTATCATAATACTCAATTGACTCTTTTATATCCTCATACACATCCTCAGTCTCTATGAAAACAATTAGCGAGTCTGTGTCTGTCGCCAGCAATCTAATTTTTGACCCATATCTCTTTTTTAGAACATTGTACCAAAAATTGTACATCAATAATTTAGATAGCTCTAAAACAACAAATCCTCCATAGATCGGTTTGTTAAGAAAAACCGTCGGTTTTTTCCTATATAATAAAACATGGTCTTTGTCTATGATTGTTCGCGACTCAAAATCTCTATACTTGTTCCTCTTTTCAAGAGAATCGATTAATTTCACATCAGACCATGCCCTCACGTTTTCCATCTGTTTTCCGTACGCGCAATTAATCATCGATTTTGGCTGGTCTTTTTCGAAATCATTTCTCGCCCCTTGTCTCAGTTTAGTATTTTTTTCAATGTATGGCTTCAACCAGGCTTTCTGTTCAAATTGAATATAGTTTTTCACTTGTTTCAATACAATGCCCTGCCTCAAGCATTCTTTCAACAATCTGTAATCGATTATATAATCTTCTTTATCATACATAGTATTCATTAATTTAGCTACTTTGGGTTGAGACCCAACTTCCTTTTCAATTAGCTTTTTTTGGTAAGGTGAGAGTTCCTCTTCTTTTGCCATGTAGTGATCCGGCAACATTGGATAATTTTCAAAATACGGATATAACTCTTCTGGAATTTGCAAATCGCACATAAAGGTGTATCCTACATCACTGTCATCACTTAGTTCCAAAATGTATTCCTTGGTGAAAGTGTCTAAGGGAATTATGTTTTCAACTTGCTCTTCTTTGGGCTTTTCTAAATTCTCTTCATAATTTATAAAATTTCCTACTGGTAATTTTTGACTTAATCCCCAACCGTACAAATTATTTGCATCTAAGTACATTATGTAGCTTGTGGGCTTTGTACTATCCCAAATACCTTTTTCTTGAGCTTCTTGTTCACTCAATTTGCTTACTTTTTCAGTAATTGAATCATAAAAGTACCGATTATTTGCTACTGCATGCCTGTGCGGAATCATTGAAATTCCTCCTCTTTTCCCCTTTTCAAAAATCTCATACGTTTTTTGAGACGTTAGTAACTCCAATGACTGTCCTGTGCATTTTAAAGAGGCCGCATCTGTTAAACCAGGGGTTGAAATGAAGTAAACCGGATCTAATCCATGGCTTCTATAACAGGTTTCTCTGTAATTATCAAATACATCTTTTAGAAGCACGGAGTCTAGTTTCAAGTACAAATTGTGATACTCTCCAAAGTTCTTAAAACCAAAATGTTCATAAACTTTTATTGCGTGTTTTAAATCGGATTTCGATATATTTTTATCACTCAGTGTTGAGTACCAATCTACGATTTTGAGGGGTAACTGATTTTCGAATTTACTGTAGGAATCAACCCACTCATAAGGATACATTCCCTTTCTCAGCACTAAATGCAAATCCTCTTGTTTGAATTCTCTGCATACATTTTTAAATTTAGTGTAGTCAATGTCCTTGTAACAAATACTTTGACACTTTGAACAATTGGTTTTCAATTTCAGATTCCCCTGTTCGTCAATTGGTAAAATATCAAAATTCTTTATCTCTCTGTCTCTATGACATTTAGCGCAGTAACAGGAATTCATGTCTCCCAAATTTCTACATGCCTTATCAAGGCTGATGTTGATGAACCTATATGTATCTATGAATTTGAATTCACTCACAATATCTTGCATCTCGCCCTTCCTTTTGATGATCATGTAGCTCTTTTCTTTTTGCTCTTTCTTTGATTTTGCTTCTTTTTGCTTTTCTTCTTCTTTCTTTGCCTCACATTTTTCACATTTATCAATTATTTCATTTTTATACCACTTTTTACACTTTTTACAAATACTCAAATCGTATTCTTGTTCATACTGGCCTACAATCATTTTCTTTGAAAAAGTAATGTAATTTTCTTTTGAGTTCGGTATTATATTTATTTCATCCCCCTCGAGTAGCCAGGTGAGAAATATTTTAGAGTCATATTTTAAATTATGTATTAAGACTGGAATAAATCTTGGTAGTTGCAGTTTAAGATTACATTCATTACAAGCAGCTCCTCTGTATTTACCTGTGTAGTGATCATGATCTGCCACCTTTTTAGTTTCTGAATCAAAGGTTTTATTACAAATATGACAATTTATTGCCTGACGATAATTGCTCCATCCATATTTACCCCAAACTATTTTCTTCTTTTCCCTCCTAAGTTCATAGTATCTCTTTCCGTATCTAATCAAACATTCTAGAAACTTCTGCTTTAAAGTTTCCTGACTGTGTGATCTTATAACTTCAGTTCCATCAATCGATGTAAAACTAAAGCTGTTAGCCTCGTGTTTTTGAAAATATTTAGTTGTTTCCGTTATTTTCTCGTGGATCTTTTTAAGAGTGGTCTCGAAATCCAAAGTAACTGTGAACGGATGAAATTGCTCTGCTTCGTTGGATTTGTATTCTTTCACGCTACCTTCCAATGGCATTGTTACGTTCTGTTTGTTGTGTATACAAAATTCAATATGTTCTTGAAGTTTTTCATCTGTTAGAAATTTACTATTACATTTATTACAATAATGCATCATTTCTCTGTTTTTATGAATTTGACCACTTAAAAGTGCGTTCATCCTCTTAATTCCAACTACGTGCTCTTTATATATCAGCAAATCTAAATGCCTATCTTTAGTTTTCAAATTTTCGCTTCTAAGTCTTAATTTTATAATCTTTTCATCATATTCATAAATATTAATTGATACATTCAACAAATTTTCATATTTTTCAATATTACATTCTTCAATTTCTACCGGATAATGCATTTTCAGTTCCTCATACTTTTCAATATTATAGTTTTGGGGGCGAACGGTATGTGTTTTTACTGGGTTCAGTAAACTCTCTAACGCATACTCAAAGCATCTTTTATCTTCTTCTTTTTTACATTTGAATTTGTTCGTCTTGAAATTTTTGACATTGATACAACATCTCTTATTTACTATGAAACTTGGCAACTCAACATATGAACCACCTCTCAATGGATTATCTTTATCTGAACTAATATCCAAGTAAAGTATTCTATCGAACCGTAATTTACTATTTTTTGGAGAGAAATTACTAAAATTATTTGACAAATGTTCAGCCATCTTGTCCAACTTTTTTCCAATGGATGAACATTTTAGAATTTCAGTTAACTGTGAGTTAAAATGTCGTGATGAGAGCTCTTTTACGGACCCATCTGTTAAATCATACTGAACGTATTGAACTTTTAAACTAAATAATATCTTAATACATTCTTTTCTTTTCAATTCATCTTCTACTAAATCTTTAATTTTTGGAAGAACTTTATTTAGAAATTTGAGAATATCATATTTTCCCTTTTCATAATAAACACCGTAATCTGTATTCATCTTATGAAGTGCACTATCTTTTTCTATTATTATCACTTCATTGAATTTATTGGGAATTTTTTCCAAGATTTTGCTTTCTTCACACATTTCTTTTTTTCTGTTAATATCATCTTTACTCATTGGATTTCCCCTAAATCGCTGTTCTTCTTGCATAATTACATCATCATCAAAAGGAAACAATTCTTCATTATTCGTATTCAGAAACCACTGAATTATTCTATTGATTATTTCACTCTTATTCTCTCTAGAACATCGTTTGTAAATATACAGTGACTTACACATTTGTTTTAATTCTTGTTTTGTTAATAATGAAAGTCGTTTGAGGGAATATTTACACATTTTATTTAATATTTTTCTCTCCGCGATTTTCATTATCATCTTTTCTTTATTTAGTCTTGAACAACCTCTAATATTAAGAGATTTGCATTCATTATATAGAGCCTTTCGCGAAAAGGTTTCATCCTTTTTATTTTCATCTGCATCCATTTTATTATATAATTTTTTATTTTGTTTAAAATCTGGTTCGGTCATCATTTTATTATAGAAATCACTTCCTTTAACTCATGTCCCTAAAACTGACCCCCTTTTTATTTGACCAGAAAATTCATCTGAACTTATTTTAACTGAAAGTAATCTGAGATTTTTTAAAGAGAAAGTTTTTTTTTTTTTTTTTTTTTTTTTGAAAGAATAGAGGACTACATGGTATTAACTCTATTTCTTATAACTAGGAACTAAGAACTACTTTTACAATAATGGGTAGGCTGGTACGACACCGGCCCTATCTAGATTACAGAATGTACAGGTGCTGTACATTACGATTGAGATAATTGGTGCAAAATATATACATATGTATACATGCTAAATAAAGTATAGATATTTGTGATAAATATTTGGATCTTAATTATTATGCCCCCCGTCCCCGCTATAAAATAATAAGATATTAATTAATAATTAATAGAGAAATAGGTGCATAATGCAATGATAATGCACGAGTGACAGTCGAGAGTCAGACACAATCAGTACAAGTGATAGGAGACGTTAAGATTAGAGATGCTCGATGTTAGAGCGGTGCGTTGAGATGCGATGTGTGCCAAATGGTGTTATTATTTGGAAAATTACAAGAGTCTTTTACCAAAAATTTCTATGAATGTGACTAGATGAAGATATAAACAAGGGGGTATAACGACTGTCTTTTGGGGGTAAATATGTAGAAGGTACACAAAATGGAGGTTAAAATTATTCTTAATGGCTTTTCATCAAAATAACAAATACTTAAAAAGAAATTTGGCATCAATTCATTTTTGACAAATTACCTCAGATGTTCGGGCGGAATGCGGACGATGATGCGGAAAGCGGCTGTAATGAAGTCGTTTCGCGTTGCGCCCCGCGAC